ATTAACAAATAAGTGTGTTTTACATACCTATGATATCTACAGACAGACCCCTCACCTCTTACAGACAGCCCCTCATTACAGACACCCCCCATTACAGACCTTCAGAATCAATAACAAAAGGTGTTACACTTTCGAGTTTTTTTTTGGAAAATTGATTCAGTTATAATTTTGAAAAATAATGAATATCATTATTTGTGACTTGATTAATAGATACGATAGTGTGTAAGGTCTGCTGTAGATATCATAGGTATGTAAAACACACTTATTTGTTAATCAATTCGATGATTAATTATAATAAGAACGAGAAATTAAGAAAAACGAATTATAAAAAATAAAAAAATAATGAGCGAATAGCAACAATGCAAATAAAAAATAGGGCGCCTATAGAATAAAGTTTAAAAAACATTCTGTTCGAAATTAGAGAGATTCTTACTCTTGCGATTGATTTTCCTGCAAAACAACTATAGTCTAAGAGAGATTTTTCAGTTTACGTATTTTGTATCAGTTGAATGAGGCTAGAGAGCATATGTGAGTTCCACATTTTAGCCCCAAATGGGCTGCGCTAACAAGCTCTTTTTGCTTGAGTAAAGAACTTTTCAACAATATTTTCGATAACTGAGAAAGGATTATGTTCTTCAGAAAAAATAAAATAATGTTCATTAAAACAAAAAAGTTAACTCTAACTTTTCCATCGAATACGATAAAGACAAGGTACCAATTGACTCATTTAATGATGAAGTTAACAGAATATTGGTTGGACTGATAAAAACAATTGATGATTAATTTAAACTATTTGATTTCGTTGAGATTTGTGCAATTCCTTATGTTGCATTATTTAATCAGTGAATAGATGCTTGTGTATTGTCAAAGGTAGCCGTCACTTGTTGATGTGAAAAGTTTGTATTTGAAATGAGGAGCTTGACGATTATTCAACCTTGAGTGGAATGCATTTTCTACTAGGAAATAAATAAATGATCAGAATTGATCTATCAAAGTCAGAAATAATTAAGTTTTAATTGCGTAAGCCTAAAATTGGTACTATTGGATATTTCAATATGTTCTTTCATTTAACCCTTAATTGATGTCTTCTCTTTGGAACTTCATTGCTGTTCAGTGGCCTATCTAGACTCATCAATACAAAATCACAAAAAGTCGATAGTTTTGTTTTATTGCAACTATTCATTTATATACTATACACATATGAATATTCTTTTTATAAAGATTTATGCCTCAGTTTTCATGGACACAATACACAGACATGCAAAAGTAATATCATCTGGAGCTGTTTGCATAACAATATTAAAGTATAAATGAAAAAATCTTAGATCCAGCCACTTTAGTCTAAAACAACGGAAATATGGGTGTGGGTAAAGCGATCCCTCAAACCCACACCCTTTTATATAGGCGATTCTTCTCTTGTCGATCTATAGTATTCTTCTAGCTTAATTGCTCCATATGTTTCCTCCAGAAATGTACACTGTGGATGGAAATCTGTCACTGTCGTTATGCTTTTCGAGAACTTCTTTCGTCACTATGCTAAATTAGCATTGTTAGATTGAATTCATCAGATTGACCACTATTCTAACTGATGAATTTGTCGAAACTAAAATCAGATGCAAATCTATATAAATTTACCATTTTCCAACAAGAGAAGCTGCCGATGTCGTGATAGTATTGTTGCAACATCTTCCTCGCTGTTATAGACATCTCTGATATTTGTAGATCAGTCTTTTTTGATATTATTTGCCAACCTAGTGAGTGATAAAAATATTGTTCAATTATTTTGGTTTTGATTTTGAAATATTTTTTTTTAATGTAATAAAGATGTTTTCGATGATATATTTCGTTTTGAAGTGCGTATTCTAGTTACTTGTTTTTCTTTTTTGACGAATTGATGTTCGAACGAGTCGAAATGTTTCGTATACTATTAGGATGATTTCTATGAGGAGCGGCTACAACCGAAATATGGAGTAAGAAAAACATTAGTCACGTAGCAAACAAAAAAAGACTAAGATATTTAAAATCTCAAATGGAAGCTAATTTCACTCAGCTGAAAGAGATACGGCAGAAAACGGTAGGATAATCTTCAATTTCTCGTGGTCAGACCGAAAACCTGATTCTGTGTCAGTTCCTACAGTTATCAACGATATCCAGATGCGATGAGCGTTTCCTACACGATTCCAGCCTAAGGGTACGGGATAGATTCAGCCGTTTCCGCAACTCGGATCCTGTGGTTTTCTCACACATTCTTGTCTTACAATTGGTTGCTAATCATCTTTCTGCATTCTCTGATGTCAAAGTGAGCATCTCTTGAAGTAAGTATAGGGTTCATCATAGAAAGTGGGCATAATTACGAAGGTATGTTTTTTTTTCACAAATAAACTTAGTCTAACAGTTTTATGAGTTTTCGCTATGTTGCGCATGTCCTGAGAAACTTCAAAGATCACGGTTGTTTAATCCAAGGTTCGAGATCAGTCTATTGATTGATTTGAAAGATTTATAGGCAGTCGTCGATTTTGCCATGTTTTTCTGGGGCTTCAATGATAATGAGTAAATGATTCGCAAAGGCCGTTTTGTAAGATGTAGATATTTCTTCTGAATTAATCATCATGGTATCAGAATATAATGCATGCTTCAATGTGTTTTATAGCGGATCGTTCGGCTACATGCGACTAGTCTCATGTTATTTTCGAACGGAGATTTTTGTATTGCTCCGCTAAGACTCCTGCATTTTTTTATACTTTCCAACGAGATGTAGACTGGTTCTTGTTGATTCCCGGTTTCGGAATAATGTGAAAAAATCACTGTTTCTAGTACGAAGACTTTCCGACCTGGAATACTGCTTCCGTATTTCTCGTTGTTGCGGCTAGAATTGAAGACGAAAATTAATGACCTAGGTATATGTTGTGATTATGTTAGACAATACTATATGTAGCTTCTTAGATGTCTTAACTATGGTTACTTTCGTTTATCTCAATGAATCAAGATCAGTCATAATTGTTTGAAATGTTTATGGAATAGTTCGATTTATATTGTTTGAAGCATTGATATTCTGCTGACCTGCTATAAACAATGATGGTAATGTTGAAATAACTACCGTCGTACACCAGAGGAACACGATTATCATCCAGTCACATTTACAGCATTATTTATTTGTTTTTATGACAAATGCAAGAAAAATTAATAATAAGAAAACTTATTCTTCCTTATTGCCCGTTTACTTTATCATTGTTTTGCTCAACTTCTGGATGTTCAAAACTTTTTTTTTAATTTTTCATTTAACTTTCTGCTGAAAAACATGTGAGGAAATTTATGAACATGATTATTGTAAATGGTTTTGGTATCAATATATGGTCTATGATATTTGGCATCGTACCTCATCTAGAGACAATTCTAATATCCTTGTCAAAAAGGCAATGAAAAAAATCGTTCTGCAGGCCAAATATAGTAGGATCCTTTGTCCTACAAGTTGTATTCTGTCAGGACAAAATTTTTGATATCCTGCCCTACATTGTCCAAAGCAGGATATCTGATTAAAAGTCTCCTGTAAAATTCAGAATAGGATGAAGATAACTGTCCTGTAACATTCTCTGATCCATACCCACACCCTCAAGCAAAATGTATAGAACAGTAAAATATACCAAGTGCACTTTGAAAAATAAAAATAATACTTTGTTTTCATGATGACTCTATGCATTTTTTAAACGAACAAAATATTAAATTTCATTCATACTATTTTTGCTCTTACAAAACATCACTTTTTTCTTTTATCCTCTGATCTCTCTTGAATTATATTAGACAAAAAAAAGAACAAAAATGTATTTTTTCGCTTATCGATATATATTTGCGTTAAATGTAAAAAGATTATTTATTTTTTCCTTTCTCTTTAAATATATCCTTAACAAAACTTTGTCCTTGTACGTTTTGATATACTCTGATTACGAAAAAAAATGTTTATACATACACTTTGCTATTAAACATGAAGTATAAAAAGACATTTTGTTTTCGATTTCCATCAGAAATACTACGAAAACTTACAATCTAAATAAATTAAATCGAATAATAACTAGACGTGACTGATTCAATGAAATATTTTTTTCACATAATTGATGAAAACGCATTATTTATTTAATTAAGTCAAAAAAAAAGTAAATTTCTTGTCCACGACAATGATTGCTTATAAATTTAAACCAATGAAAATAAATGACATAATTTTATGACGTTGATAATAGCGATTTTAATTGCATCAATTTCTTTTTCTCGTGTCATATAACTGAGTAAAATTGTCGTCTTTAGAAAAAAAAAAGTTTTACTATGTATGCATTTGACGTTTTTCTTCGATGCGCCTCATTGCACATTTGTTTTATTCGTAGAGTAATCAATACAAATTTTGGCTTAATTTTGGATGATGTTTCGTAAAAAGAATAGTATATATATTTGTTTACTGTTATTATTATTATTATTATTATTTTATTTTGTTTATTTAGGTGATTTTTTATATATTTTGTTGTTTTTAATTTGTTTATTAAAAATAAATATATGCCAACAAGAAGAACGAATCGAAGTTTTAGAAAAACGAATAAAAGATTTAGAAGCTCGGTAAAATAAATCAATCGATAATATTAATTTCATTAATTTTGTTTTTTAGACAACAACAATATCCAGAAGTGAAATTTTTAACATATAAAGATCGTAAACGAATTTTAGTATGTTAAAATTTGTGTTGATTTTTTTTGAAGATTTTATTGTTTTTTTTTTCTGCATAGGTTACGGGTGGAGCTGGGTAAAGTTTGAATATTTAATTTAGGATTTAAATTAAATCGTTTTGTTTTTATTATTTGGGAATATAGTTTCGTCGGTTCACATCTTGTTGATCGATTAATGCTTCAAGGTCATGAAATAATTGTTGCTGATAATTTTTTTACTGGTCGTAAACGAAATATTGAACATTGGATTGGTCATGAAAATTTTGAATTAATTAATCATGATATTGTTCATCCACTTTTTATTGAAGGTTAAAATCAAATGAAAAGAAAAACTCTTTTTAAATGTTTCTTTTTGTTTTGTTTAGTTGATCAAATATATCATTTAGCTTCACCAGCATCACCACCACATTATATGTATAATCCGGTTAAAACAATTAAAGTTAATTCAATTGGAACTATTAATATGTTGGGTAATTATAGAAAACAACAACAAAAAAAAAAAAGAACAATTGTTAAAGATTTATTTATTTTATTAAAAAAGGTTTGGCACGTCGTGTTCGTGCTCGACTTTTATTTGCTTCAACAAGTGAAGTTTATGGTGATCCAGAAGTTCATCCACAAAAAGAATCCTATTATGGTAATGTTAATTCATTTGGACCACGAGCATGTTATGATGAATCAAAACGAGTTGCTGAAGCTATGTGTTATGCATATGCTCAACAAGTTTGTTATGAAATAAAATAATTTTAATAATATATTTATTTTATTTCAGGAACATATTTCTATTCGTATAGCTCGAATATTTAATACATATGGTCCACGAATGCATATGAATGATGGACGTGTTGTTAGTAATTTTGTTTTACAAGCACTTCAGAATGAATCAATTACTGTAAAATTTATTGTTAAAGTTATAAAAAGAAGAAATATTTTGTTGATGTTTTTTAGATTTACGGAAATGGAAAACAAACTCGTTCATTTCAATATGTTAGTGATCTTATTGATGGTCTTATTGCTTTAATGAATAGTAATTATTCGATGCCAATGAACATAGGCAATCCAGATGAATATACAATTGAAAATTTTGCATTAAAAATAAAAAATCTTGTTGGTAAGTTTTGATTTCTTATTTTCAAATAATATCTACGACTGAAAACGAATAACGGTAGTTCATATTTTATATACAGTGGCTCCAAAAATTATTCATACAGGTGTAATTTCGATTTTTTTCCCTAATGGTAACTCCCATGAAGAATTCAAATAGTGATTTGGATAGAGAAAATTGTTTCCAACAAAGATCCCAGAAAGATGAAATTCTCATCTTATTCCCCAAAACCAGGATCTTTGGAAAACCGAAAACCTATTTTTTCAGCACCCAGACCCCGAAAATAAAAGTTNACCCCGAAAGTGGTCAAGACAGGGGTAATTCACCACGCTGAGTCGAGTGGTGATGTTCGTTTTCAGTTTCAAAGCGATATTGAAGACTATATCAAGGTTCTCAAAATATCGACTCTGCACACTATAAAGCGGCAAAATTTGAAATTTCGAAAATCTTGATATAGTACTTCAATATCGCTTTGAAACTGAAAACAAACATCACCACTCGACTCAGCGTGGTGAATTACCCCTGTCTTGGCCACTTTCGGGGTGATTTAAGGTCAAGTGGCCGAAATCGAAGGTCTCAGGAAAACCATTATAACTCATGAAGGAAACAAGCTAGAAATCTCGGCTTTGCGTAGATCGAAAAAGAACAATTTTCTCTATCGAACGGGAAATATTTTCAAAATAGCGTTTTGAAAATGTTCACCAAGAACGCACCTTATTGGCCTACTGCTGACCAATAGAATTTGCCATATATTTATAGCTCCAAGATTTCTCTTTCAAATGGTGAAAACCGCAGGTCTCTATCTTGTTCCTATCAAAAGTTATTCAAAAAACCGTAAGGTGTCTTCTATTTTGAAACGGATAGTAGTACAAGATCATGAAAGTTTTGAGCCGAAACGGATGTTATTCTATCGAGATAATGAACTGTTAACTAAACTCGATTTTTATGGCAAACGACTATTTTCTGAAAACTCAGTGTCTCGGCACAGAATCATTCTTTTCAGCTGATATATCCAGAAATTCTACAGATCAGTCAACCGATTTAAAGGGAAATTTCAGATAGAAATACGTTTATTCTATTATTCGGTAAATACCTAAAGCTGTATCAAAAATTGAGTAAAATGTTCATAACACGACTCAGAAGGCTTATTCGAGTCTTACCAAGGTCTCTTTGTAAATCCAATATGGGCTCAAATGGAAGGCACCAGTTTGAATAGTTCTCGTGTAAGAAAAATAATCTATTTTATCATGTTTCTTTTTTACAGGTATTGTTGAAACTCCATTACCTGCTTTTTATAAACAAATGACTGAACGTCCAACAACAGGTGATTTTGGTTATAATCCAACATTAGGTCTTGTACCTCAACTTTCACTACCTGATAATTTACCTGAACTTGATAATTACGCAACCTTTGATGATAATACTGCTATCGATTGGACTGGACAACAAATGACATCTATTGCACCTTCATTCGTTATTTCGATGTTACCAGATATTAAAGATCTAACATCAATAACAACAACAACGACTGTGTCTCCAGTTGAACATCCAAAAACAACTGGTAAATAACGAGTGATACAAAAGTTCTCGCACAAATATCAGTTCACTTTTCATCGACTAAAATATATGTAAACAAGCTCGAAAATATTTATTAATAATCTACATCAAAAGTTCTTTCTAACTGTATGTTTAAAAAAAACTTCTATCATGTCTTGTCTTTCAGTATCGAGTACATTTTTAAATAGTACTAAAATGTGGTCTGTTAAAAACAAGTCAAAGTAGTGGGTACGAAAACAAAACCGGATCTTTCAGTATTTTCTTATTTATTCTCTTCAATACGGTAGATTGTATGTTGATGGTTTTTTTTCGAGTAGATGTACAGAAAAACGTACAGTATCACGTTAGATGATATGATTGATAAATTGAAAAACAATGATGGAAGAAATAATATCAAAACTGAATGGAAAAACGATGATGAGATGATAAAAAAAAATTTAAGAATTGAATGGCGTGATTTTTAATAAAAAATCTATTGAAATGATGGCTACGAATGGCTCAAGATATTGCTTCTGTGAATATGTCTAGGCTAATAACTAGAACTGACAATATAGAACAATAAGCAAAAACAATGCAAATATCAATCTGAAAATGACTAAAGATTGAACAGTGAAATCTCTCAATGTTATCACATGATTTATTGAGAATAGAGACATTAATCTAGTAGAGAAAAAAGAAAGATCATCTCATGAAATGAATCGAAAGAAATCGGAAAACTCTGAAATCGGTATCTTCTATAATATTCGAGGAGTTCTTCTTACTGAAAGACAAAACATGATAGAACATTTCTGGACATACAGTTAAGAAGAGCTTTCAATGTAAATTCTACATAAATACTTTCGAGTTTGTTCACACATGTTTTAGCTGATATAAAATGAACTGACATTTGTGCAGAAACCTTTGCATCAGTCATTTAGTTTCTTGTATAGACTACTAGGAGATAAAGTAATAAGAATAATAATTATGCTCTTTTTTTTGTTCTTGTTGTTGTTTAGTATCTGCTCCTCCACCGGTTGATATACCGGCGATCATACCTCTTACATCTGTTTCAAATTCTGTTCCTCCTCCAGCTGTACCACTACCACCAACTGCTCCACCATTACCTTCGGCAGTTCCTTCAGTTTTGATACCATCAGCAACTGTTAATGAATCACAAACATCGACTAATAATGAAATTAATGATAATGATAACGATGATGATGACGGTGGTAATCCTTTACTTGCACAAATTCGTAATTTTTCGAAAACAAGTAAACTTAAATCAGCATCAAAATCAAATCCAGTTGATGAAGCACCATTACCAAGTTCACATGAACAAGAAAGTATTATGGATAGTTTAAAAAAACGTTTAATGCAACGACGTGGTTTTATAACAGGTGAAACAGCAGCATCATCGTCAACTTCTGCTGAAAAAACTATTGCTGCACCACCACCACCACCACCTTCAACTGGTGGTGCATTTACAGATGCAATTGCAGCTAAAGCAAAAGAAATAGCTGATGAACAACAACGTCGAAAAGATGATTCAGATAATGATGATGATGAAGAGAATTGGGAATGAGTCAATTGATTTCTTTTTTATTATTATTATTATTATTTATTGATTCTCTTTTTGTGATTTTTTAAAAATATTAATTATAAACTAAAGTACAAATTGTAATTTATTTTCTTGTTTAAATATATACATCTACCTATACTTGTTATTATGTTTTTTTTAATGAAAGAATGAACATATCCTATAGATTTTATTCATTATTTTATCTATTATTGTAGAATTAGTAGAAAATGATTATTATCATTCTTTAGCCCTATGACCATATTGGCCATAAAGAGAGACAATGGAACTCTAAGATCATAGATACTAGTAGTTAACTAAATTAAAAAAAAGAAAAAGAACAAAATTAGAGGAATGACCGAGAAAGAAAGAAAAAGAGAGAGAGAGAGTATCATGAGAAGCAATAAAACCTTGACAGACTATCATCGAGCCAATGTATCATATCATTAAACTATTCATTCTGCGCGTATAACTATTACTCTAAATGATTTTTCAGTTCGTCAACTGTCAGTTTATCAATGTGGCTGACTATTGATATGTTAATTCGATTTTCATTTGATTTTTCACGAATGGATCTTATTAGATGAGATTCAACACACTTCTTTCCCACTTGGACTAGAATGTCCAAGTATTACACTGATACTAATAGATACTAAGAAAAATTTACGGCAAGATCAAATAAGAATAAGGGATTACAAAAACATAATTATGTATAGTTTTTTTTAATCTCAAATTTAGATTGACCAAAGATTTGTTTAATTATTTCTCCTGAAATGAATTTTTATTATTATCTGACCATCATATTGGAATGTTTGCTAGAGGATACTACACACTATATAATGATATAAGATTACTCATAGATGATGAAATTGTATTTACAAAAATTTTGACATAAACTTTTGCCTAATAAACATTCAGTTTATAAATCAATCGTCATCTCTTTTATAACTACATGAATAAGAACAATTAATTAAATCACTATCGAGAAAAATAATAGCTACGATAATACATGAGTAAATATTCAAGCAAAAAAAATATAAGAAATTTGTCATGTTTTTTTGTAAAAAAAAAAATCACGATAAGACAAGTATGATGAGTGCATAAAATCAGTCATCACTTCTATTTATTAATAGCTATCGCCTTTTAAAATAAGGTCAATTGTAGCGGGTTGTGGCCTCTATAATATGACCATAGCCATAATACATAATAAATATCTTTTATTGCATACCAAAAATAGAAAAGAATAAAAAGCATCGGAACTGGGAAAAAAACCTCAGAATTTCAACCTAAATTTGAGACCAAAAGGACTATAATTTCTTTTACTTTTTTTGTTCAACTATTTCCTTCATTTGACTTGAATTAACGTAATTGTTAATTATAATTATTTTATAGTTAATCTTTATATTCAATATTCGTCATTTCGCAATTCTATTGTACATATTCAATAGAATTAGTAAAAAATGAATAAATAACTGTATAATGATTTACTTATAAGGGTGTATATCTGTATACATTTCCTCATGTAGAAAATATGTAAATAGATTGAACGATTGAATAAGCAAAAAGAAGAAAATGACAAATCACTACACGAGTTCAATATTGACATTTTGGTTAGTGTAAATTGTAAAATGAGTATATGAAGTATTTGTATTATCAAGATCATACTTTACTAGATAATTAACTTCATTACGAAAAGAAATGTGTAAATAAATAGACTGCCAAACGTTTTTGTATACATTAGGAATAGAGAATGAAAGAGAAAGAGAGAAACAAAGTTGTATAATCAATAGTGTATTCAGAAAAATGATTCTCTTTACTTTTTCTCTATTGTTATGTGTTGTATCGTTAAATAAACATACGAATTCATTGACGTGTTCACATATTTACATATTATTTTGGACAAAATTTGCTTGATTGAATTAATGAGAATACCGAAATAGCAATTTTTATGTATCGAATTGAGAATAGAAAGTCGAAAAACAAAAATCCTTTCTTAAATATCATGTAGAATATGATGAGGCAAATAGAAAAAAAAAAAAAAGAAAGAGAAAAAAAAAACACAGATCATTTGTATTATATTTCTTTGTCATCATCGCGTACTACCTGTTCTATATGTATTTGCTTTTTTTTTCTCCTTCTCTTCTTCTCTTCCAGATATCAATGTGTGATCTTCTTTCTCTATTTAATCAAGAGTCAACAGCATTTGTTTGCTCATAGATCATCATCGACCAACGGCAAACTTACAATGCTTATGATAACAAGGTCATAGAAACATATCTGCCAACAACTATCACTGTAAACTTGGCAGTAGTTCACCAACATATAATTTATAACAATAATCAAGGTAAACACTCGCATACTCTATTGTTTGGTATATATAATAAATATCTTATTATTGATGTGTAGATCAATTCATTTAGTTTCTTTAATAAGAAGACAGATTGACATGCCACGAAATTATAAACCAACATCACCGAATAAACATGAACCTGTAACAGTCAACAAATCCAAAGATAAACCTACATACAAAATTATTGTATTAGGTAGTGGTGGAGTTGGCAAAGTAAGTCTTGTGTTTTTTTTTTGTGTGTTTCTTAACCTATAGAGTTTGTCTAAAAGTCATACTAACAAACTAAGTATGTCAATTATCTATGATCAAAGGTTTCATGCAGTATAAACAAACTAACATTGGAAAATCTGCCTAATTTTCTTTTCACAATTAAAACAAAACGTTCTCTTTTGTATTACAGTAAAACTTGTTAGCCTTTAAATTATATTTACGAACTGTATACATGCATAATCTAATCATAACTTTTCAGACTTTGAACGTCCATATGTATTGATATAAGATCATATTATAAATATGATAACCAGATATCTGTAGATCATGTTGTGCACGTATGTTCATTTGTTATTCATTATTTGACAGGAAGAAGTATATGTTCATCAGAAATGATGATATCATAGTCAATATTCTACTATTTATGAATAATATGAATGTTAGTTTGAGAGATATTCGATGAAATGAATTTAACATTATAAATAATTACTTCGATAAATTTTTTCTTTTTAATCAAACAAGTTATCATATATGTTTCTATTTATGTTTTAGTCAGCTATAACTATTCAATTTGTAAAATCATTTTTTTTCTCGGATTATGATCCAACTATTGAAGATTCTTATGTAAAACAATGTTTAATTGATAATCAAATAGCACAATTGGAAATTCTTGATTCAGCTGGACAAGAAGAATTTAAACCAATGCGTGAACAATATATACGTGTTGGTGAAGGTTTTTTACTTGTGTTTTCTTTAACAGATCGTCATTCACTTGAAGAATGTTATAAATTACATCGCGATATATTACGTATTAAAGATACAGATAATGTACCAATGTTATTAATTGGTAATAAATTCGATATACGTCATATGGGTATCGATAGTCAAGCACGTACAGCTGCTGCTGCAATGCATATACCTTATTTTGAAACATCAGCTCGTACTCGTTATAATATTGATGAAGTTTTTTTTGAACTTGTACGTATTATAAGAAAAAATAAATGTCAATATCAAACAAATAATAATGCATCATTAGCAAAACAACAACATACATCTCATTATTGTTCTTGTACTATTTTGTAATCTGATTTTTTCTTTTTTTCTTCTTTCTATTGTATAGATATTTTTGTTTGTCAGATTTATTAATTTTGGAGTGTTTGTTTTTCTTTTTCTTTTTTTTGGTTTTGGTTTTATGATATATTTACAGTTTATAAGAACAAAAAATAGATTTTTAGATGGATTAAAAATGAATGAACAAATTGAAGTACTTAAAGCAATTTATTGTCGTTCGAATGAAATTGTCTATGATGATTTTTCTCAAATAATTACATACAATGCATTTGATGATAATCTACAATGCATTGGATTTTCAACGAGTGTTTATATGAATAATACAATCACTGTTGATAGTAATATTTTAACAAAAGATGAACTTAAACAATTGCAAGCCAATGCTTGCTTGACAACAACATTGTATGATTTATTTACAACATTGAAATGTTGTTATGATGAATTAATGATGAAAAGACCGAAAGAAATCATACCAATGGAACAATGTTCATCTTCATTTTTAATGAAAATTGATCATATGCGTTCGCCGAATATTTATATGAAACATCTTCATCAATGGACAAACGAATTGAACATTACCGGTCGTGTTCTCATCATACCACACAATATTTTTATACTTATCGAAGGAAAAAATGAGAATCTTAAAGTTAGATAAATTAAATCTATATTGATTTTTTTTATATAAAATTATTTATTTTAGAAATTTATTATTAAATTAAAAACTGAAACAGTAGATATCGATAGTCGTGGTAGACCTTGTAAAGAACGATTATTAACTCAAATTGTTGAATTAAATAATCATTCATCAAAGTAAATTAATTCATTTATTATTCTAATATAATTTTTATAATTCTTTAGATTTAATAATTTTGAAAAAATTGAATTTAATTATCGAAATGAATTAGAATCATATTTAATGAAATTTGAATATAATACATTACTCGATTATATTAAAAATTAATTCAGAAGATATTTTGAATAAAAATTTATTGTTCTATTAATATAAAGATAACAAAAATTCATATTTATGAAAAAAGAAAATCACAATCTTCAACAATTTATAAATATTTACGAATAAACATTTTCTCAAAGTAACTATTGAAATTTTATCCATATGAAATATAATATTTTTTCACAAAAAAAAAAAAACTGCAATATTTAAAACTGTTTTATCAGTATTCAAAATTTTTTATCAGGATCAGATTAACAATCTGTTTTAATCTTAATACATGTATAGGTTCTCCATAACCATGAAATTGCACTAGAGAATATCTTATATTGTTAAATTGCTTTTGAAATAAAACTATCCATGAAAGAACCTTACCAATTGATAAATTCTTGATAAGATCAAACTTACTGACTTAACTGGATATTATCGAGAGAGAAAGGTCAGAATTGTGGACTGGATCCAACTTTTTCTCATTAAAAGTTTTATTTCTATGAATCATCCATATACTCTGTAGTAGTGAGCGGTATGCATTTCCATTAAAACGTAGCACCCAGCAGGATGACATAGTACTCGACAAGATGATATAGTGTACAAAAGGACAATGCCGTGCTTTCGTTAGTAAGAAGACATAGTGCACAGTAGTATTCATTTTTATTAAAGATTACTTATCAACATCAAGTATTTAGACCAAACTACTGTTCTAGAGTATCCATTCAGCAAGATGGAGTAATGCTAAGAAAGTACTATATGAATTTCATAGTTAAAATGCTTCAGTTTGAGACATTAATCGTTAGATTAAAGTCTATTTTTTTTTGAAGGCGATCTATAAAAGATGATGATGTTTTGTTTTAAAAATTCACTAAAATAATTAAATCAAATAAGAAAGGACTCATGACACAAATCGTTTTAAATTTTTTCTATCAGTCACTTATTCAGAATTATACTTGACTCAAAATTTCTAGTTAAATAATTCTCATATAACTGAAGAATCATTGTTGTTAAATGATATACACAAATGTGTAGATTTAGATCTAAAGAAATGATTTTCGATTAATTCTTGTTAATGCAGAAACATGGATACTGTACTCAATAGCGAAATTCATTTTCCATGAGAATGTAAGAGATTGATATGAGCAATTATTTAATTGAGATAAAATCATATCAGTTGTAATGATGCAGATATTTCATAAAATTTAGTTCCATTTGTTTTTTTTTTGTACAAGTATAATCAATATGAATCTATAATAATAAAGTATTTTGAAACATATTTGAAAAGAATTTATCAACTTTAGTACTAAATATTTTGTTAATCGAACTGGAAACAACTAGCAATTAATCATTTATTAACTCTTTGACAGGTTACTCTTGTCGTTCGGTTATTATTGAGTTTATTGCTGAACTAGATGTTGCCATCAGTTTTTTTTTATGTTTAAAAATGAAAAACTTTAATGCCGGTCCATCTTTAGATATTGCAAAAATATAAATGAAAATGATGAAACATCTTTCATTTAATGGCATAGATAGAAACAGATTTCTTTTAGAATGCAGGCTTCCTATTAACACTTCTAAAAGGAACTCAACTTTTACTAAGGTGAAGAGAAACTGGCGAAAGAACCTCTCCGAATATCAAATCGATTTTCGACCGAAAGAATGTTCATGAGATGAGGAATAGAAAAGTCTAGAATGATTTGGTTTTTCAAGCGTTCATTCTTGAGATATAGAAATTTTATTGGGTTTTTTCAACAAAAAGTTTTGGTCATATGAAAAATCGAATTTTGCATGAACAAAATTCTCAATGAAATTAGTTGAATGTACCACTAATATTTTCTTTCAGGAGATATAAATATATGAAAAAATTTACTTTTACACATGATGAAAGATTTTCGAATATTCGATATGTTAGGATAGAAGATACTAGATGTTCAACAAACTAATCTCATTGAAAAACCCAATAAAATTTCGATATCTTATGAATGAAGGCTCGAAATCCCAAAGCATTCTAGACTTTTCTATTACTCATCGAATGAATATTGTCTCGGTGAAAAAGCAATTTGACGCATGGGGAGGTTTTCTTGTGAGTACGTTCTCTAGTGCTCGTCTGTTTATGTCATTACTTTTATTAGCATTCAATATCATACTACTTTATAAATAATACTAATTCCATTTTAATATCTTGATGTGTCACTCATAATTTTTCTTGAATTCTTTTCTTTTTTTTTTTCTAGAAAGTCATAAATAGATTTCTGTGTCAATACAAAACAAGACGTCAAACAAAATGATGATTTCATATATTTTCTCTGTATTTTGAACTTTCACAAATACCAATAATCTTCATTATACTTGTTCAAATAGTCTTGTCGCCATTTGAAAATTACTAAATACAATTAAATTTCAAGAAAAATGCTTTTTAGATGTATCTATCAACAACAGATCGTGTATTTAAATAAGACTATCATTCATATTTATGTATATTTCATTATATAACTAAATAAATAAAAGCAAAAAAGAAAAAAATACGATTGTTTCTTTTTTTTTTTATATGAATTTTTTTCAAAACTTCTTTCTACTTACTGATTCCAATCACCATCATTTTAAATGAGAGTTAGGCTCTTATAAATAGATGCGTTTATGTCGATGACGTGTCATCAAATTCTTTTGGCAGGATGTCACTTTGTGGTTGTGCATGTTTAAGAAAATTGACAGTATGGACTAGAAAAGAGGAAGGAAAGGGTATTCACCTGATTTATTGATGATAAAAACATTCGAGATAGTGCTGACATTTTTTTCTCGCCTTTTCTTTTTTTTTTCTATACATTAACATAGAGTATTCATTATTGTAGAAGTGAGGAAGGTGGGGTGCATAGACATATACAAGGATATATTTGATCATAAATCAGATCAATATTTCTTCAGTAAGTCGCCCCCAAGGAAAAAGAAGTATGATGACAGGATTAGTAAGAATTATTATGATCTGCACGACAGAGCTGATTAGATCAAGAGTAAAATAAAATCGGTATCGTTGCTTTAAGTGGATGAATTCACATATATATGCCGATATAAAGTAAAAGAAGTCTGTAAAGTATATATAAATCAGTTTTTTCTTCTTTTCTATGATCCGTAGTTTGATTGTTCTGTGATTGATGATGTATAGCACAATACAAAAATAAAAAGATTTCGTATCAGCAGAAGTGATTGAAAGAACTCCAAGTTGCGTCGAGCATACACGTATTCGATACTATTCGTATTATTACCATAAATTTTTTCTTCTTCTTCTTCTTCTCTCTTTCTGTCCCTTCTATTTCTTTGCCGACGTATTTGTATGTTGAGTTGGCTGGCAATCGATCATAAACAGCTATTTCCAATAAACTTGTCATTGTATGTGTATACGTGTGCATATGCATGCGCAATCATTCGCCAAGCCGTGACTTTGTCGTTGAGTCGATAACAACACGATCGGAACAAATATTTCGAAGTACAAAAAAGAAAAAGCAGAATAAAAAGAACGTGAAAATAAAATAGAGATTTTACTACCATATAGTTTATCAGTTGGCGCATTTGGCTTACTCGGTCATACACAGACAGAGAAAAGTAAAACGAAATCAGAAACATATACATTAACAGATGTAGGTGAATGCGTGCACACGCACACACACAAGTTTTCAATTGATATTTATGTCCTAGGACAAATGATTGAACACATATAATATATAGATATATACTATTTCATTTTAGATTTGAATAATCTTCTTCCCTTAGTTTTTTTTCCTCATTTTTATTGTGTTGTTGCAACGGACAAGTGGTAAATATTATGAATATTAAAAATGAAATTTTATTTTTTTTAAAACTTTTAATTTAAGAAGGAGAATGACAACAACAAGTAAAAATATTGAATTAATTGTTAAACAATGGACTTCATTTGATTTGAAAACAATTCAGGTGAAAAAAAAAAATGTTTTTTTTTTTTTCTTTTTTTTATCTATCTATAAAATTTGATTTTAAAAATATGAGACATAAACGATTATCTTTAAACTTTATTTAGTCAAGTGTTCTTCTTTCACTCTATCTTTTCGAGTTGAACTTGTCGATCAATATAGTAGAACACAAAAAAAAAAAACGAAAAAGAAATGAATTGAATGATCAAACTGTTGTGTAATATAGATATATTTATTTATCTATTTGTATACTTGATATTGTCGTCTTTTCAATAATCAGAATCAATTTGTTTACCTTATTCTATGATATAAAAGAGACAATGAAAGTTGTCGACCTTATGTCAGAGTTTGAGAACTAATCATTTAATCATCACTGTTGATGTTCGTTCTCTTAGTTGTATGTCACATAATAATAATAGATCGAGTTTTAGCTATACAATAATCGCTTTCGAAGAATATCTTCTTTTTTTTTTTTTTTGTCTTATATCATCGTCAAGCCCCCTGATTCTTTTTCGCTTTTCTTTTGTTTTGTTGTTCTTCTATAATACTCCTATTTTTCTGTGATTAGAATTCTCTCTTTCTTGTCCATTGCGTATCTCTCTATCTCTCTCTCTCTTACTCGCGCGCGCGCTTGTTCGTTTGCTACTTATTATGCTTGCCAATGATGATATACAGATAGAGATATCGTCGTTTTGGAAATAGTTCGGTTACTAGTGTTCTTGTAAGTATCGCCAAATGTCAAGTATTAATACACGTGATGGAATTTAGAGTGATTGAAATTAAGAATAGAATGATAATATCTAGTTAATAGATATATGTGAAACTATGCTTTTTTATTTAAAAGAAGAAAAAAAAACGAAAAATTCCAATGATGATCGCTTTTATATAAGAAATATTGTCCATCCTTTTTCTCTTTTTTCTTTTTGTACATATCATTAAAAGTCCGATCGACATCAGTAAGTGAATATGTGTTTGTGTGTGTTGGTATGTATGTTGAAACAAAGGAAAATGAAAAAAATCGCATCTTTTATGTATGTATGCATGTTTGTCTATGATGATTGATCTGAGAAGTATACAATCAATGTATACTAGAACTTGCCGTTGTGTTTATTGGTATATCCCATGAGGCACTTCGTACTTGGGTATTGACACACATTATATAGACGAAGATAAGACGAGTTGTAATAGAGACGGACAATCTTCTTCTCCTTGTTCGTTTATCGAGCTAAAAGAAATAAAGAGAACCGACATTGACTTGACTAGCAGCATCATAAGACGTCGCTGATTTCCTCCTTGAGAACGAATGCCGTGCCTAATCTATATCAATCAACTCTCTCTTTTTCATTATCCCAATAGGCTGGATGAATAAACCTAATCTTGAATTGACAACAACCAGTTTTGTTATTCCTTTTTTTCTCACTGTATATATTTGTCGTAAGAAAGAAAGAAGATATTGTCAACAACAAATATCTAACGATCCATGATTGTTAATTATGATCATTTCTACTACTGATGACAGATAACTCTGTTTATATATATATATATATATATCTGTGTGTGTGTGTGTACATCACTATACATAGTTGTACCGATAGGTAAAATGATATTGTATTGTCAATGAAGACAATGCAACAAATCACTTTTGAGACCAGCTGAAAGACAATCAATAAGTAGTACGCAACATTCATATTGATGAAGGATAGTACCCATGTGCATTATTTGTATACATAAGGATCATAATCATTTCTTGTTCTTTTTCTTTTTTTTGTTCATAGTTCGAAGATAAATTCAATATTAACGATCAAATAAATAAAATATAACGATATATATTATATATACATATGTTTTCTTCTTCTAGCATGATTTGGATGTAACAGCAACTGAAATAGCTAGTCGTGCTGATGAAAGTGATCAATCAAGAAGAAAATTGGTTGAATTAAGTCGAGATTTTAAGAAAAATACCAACGAAGTATGTAGATATACTATTTTTATTTTAATTGATCATTAAAATCAAGAGAGAAAGAGTAGAAATGCATAACTTCAACAGTCATGTTTAAGTGTTTTTAATCGAATGGCATATACTTTTGTTTTACACACACACGAACGTGATCATTTCTAGAGTGGACTGATTGTTCTACAATTGTTGTCTCTAATTTAGTAGATTGCATTTTTTTTGTCAGAGTACCATCATTTACGTAGATGTAGAGAGAGATGAACTTATATTTTTTTTTTCTTTTTATTCTCATCATTTTATGTATGGTCTTATCGTTGACACACATTTTTCCGACTTGGATATTAGCTCATTTGCTTCTGAAAACGGTTCTTTAGTACAGGAAATAAAATTCTCAAAGACGACAAGATCTTGTTATAAATAATTATATTTTTTTTTTTTAGTTATTTTTTTTTCTAGTTTATTTTTCATTTAAGAATACTTTTGGTTTTCCACTTCAATTGATCTAGTTTTTTTTTTAACAAATATTCTCTCGTTTATGTGCACACTCCAATTACTATTGTATTCATTCATTTATTAAAATTCTTACACATACACTTTCCATCTGTCATATTTATGCGATGCATACATATAACGTTTATTCTAATTTGTTAAAGTGGAATAAAATTTAATCTACAATAAGTAACAGCAGTTAAACTACTTTGTTTGTTTTGTACGTTACATCACAAAGGTGACAATCAAATTATTTTGTTGTTTTTTTTTTTTTCTTTGATGTTTAAAATTGAGTATCGGAAGATGACAATTGATTTCTTTTAGCTATACATCTCATTAGAACGACTTGTTAATCATAAGTTAGAGAGTTTGTCTAGGCATTCATGTGCAAAGATCTTTGATCTTCTTAGTGACGAAGTCAATTCTATATTTCAATGACAATCGAAGAGAATGAGGGAAAAATCTTTTTCTCTATTTATCATTTCTAACAACATCAGGAAAGTCTTTAATTGTATGTCATTTTTTCTTCTTCTACTGATCATCACTCAGTAATAACATAGAAGAATAATCTCCTATATGTGTGTGTGTATGTGTGATGACAGACCGATTATGTCAATGTGATTGAGTAGAGAGACAAAAAAGAAAGTAGTTTTTTCTTTTTTTTTTTTTTTTTTTTCGTATTCTGTAATCTGTGTTGAAAGCGACAAACAAGTAACCTATGATTTGGCTCATTCAGCTTTTTGAAAATAGTTTCGAATGTATTCGATTTTTATTTTATAGATAAATGCCCTTTAGCGAATGAAAATTTTTTTTTTTTTTTTGGTTATACTATTCAATAAAGGAAATGAACAAATGAAAACATAAAGACTTTAGTTCATCTTATCCGTATTTAGAATGACAAGAAAGAAGTAAAAGAAAGAAGAAGAGGAAGAACATGATTTACATATTCAATAAGCAAACTGACTACTATTGTGTTTTTTTTTTCTCTTATACTTTGATCATCATCATATTCTTCTTACCTGATGTTTTTCTTTTCAATAGATGAGAGAATCTTCTTTATATTTATAACAAAAAGAATGAATAGAGACTAAATACCCGCTCACACCCGACATACATATATGATATCTTGAATAGTGTCAAATCCTGTTGAGGTTGATGACTTTTCTCTCTCGTTTTTTTCTTCTTTTCATTATCCTGAAATTTTAATCAGACAACGTCTTCGGAATGATGAGAAAGAGAAGAAGAAAAAAAAAAATGTCTAAAGAATATTCTAGTCTATATACATCAACGACTATGTTGGATCGGCATCAGAACTAATCACAGACAAGGGTCTATTTCCTTTTTTATAATTGATTTTTTTTGTGCTCTTTAGTTTTTTTTCCTTAAAGGTGAAAATCTCAATTCTTATTCGTTCATTTTCTATTAGACATACATCTTTCTTCTAATTAGACGTGATCATTCAATATTATATGATCCTTTTCTTCTATCGCGTGTATCGTCTCATTGTTGTCATTGGTAAACGAGTAATAGTATTGAACTCTAGTGGATTACTTTTGACGTCCATCGACACGCAATTTTTTCGATAGGAAAATCGAACACTTGTCAATCTTTATATATTTTCTGTTTATGTCCATATCAGACGATTGAACGTTTTTTTTTTTTGTTTTCTTCTTTTTATTTATCAAAAAACTTCAATAGTGTAAGTAATTTTAATGTCGCATTACGATCCTAAAGCATTTACATGCCTAGAAGGTGTAAGGAAGTGAGCTAACCGATCATAGTAACAACGACACTAGAGCCTGAATGCTTAATAATCTTTCTCGATCTATATCATCATTGATGCGTATGCGTCTATCCTGTTAATGAAACTCTCGTTTTTCTTTTCTTACATTGCTTATAGGTTTTCTCTGCAGCAGATGATTAAAATACAAAACGTTTCCGATCATGTTCAGTCTTCTTTTTTCTTCTCGTTTTACATATAAATTCTTGTCATCATAATGATAGTGTATATATGCAAACACAAAACATGTTATATTTCTTTATGTGTATTCATTTCAATTTCGTTTTAAATAAATATTGTGAGACTTCCGTTATCACTATTCTTACTTAATGATTACTAATAGAAAGAAACATAAACGACACTTATGTTGTTCATTCGTATAGAATAAACGTAAGAATGATGATTGAAATTTTTCTTTTACTTACATATATATATTAAATATTCATAACACACAACGATGTGTGACAGACTCCTGTTGTCATTCAATTCTTTCTCTCTTCGGTGTCGTTTTTATGTTCTCATCTTTTAGTCAGTTAATAAAAAACAAAACAAAAAAGACAAGGTATTAAAGAAAAAAAGAAGAAATCATGATTGGTTTTCGATAATAATTGGTTAACAAATGATTATATTGAGTAATTATTTGAACTAAAATAACTTGTTGAACACGCAAGATTTTTTCGTTAACATCTGCCTGTTATTTATAAAACACGAGTAAAAAAAAAAAAAGAAACCTATCTATCACCTGTCTCGTCTTCCTTTTTCATATATGCGTGCGATAGAATGCATTACCTTCTTTAAAAAGAAAATAGAATACTAACTAACATCTTATCATCATCATCATCATTTTTTTAATGCGATATTTTTCTTTTTAATTATCATCACTAAGGTTCGTGAGCCGAGCGAAAAGAAAATTTGTTACCTGTCTTTAGACATGCGCTTACACTCCAAATCGATAACAATATCATTACTATTATCTTTTTTGTTGACTTTGTTATTTGTCTACATAGGATGTGCGAAAAGCCGTTGCACCTATATTAAAATCGTTCCAAATCGAAATTGATAATTTATCAAAACGAAGTAAAGCAGCGGAAAAAGCATTTTTAGAAATCTATCGACATTTAAGTGAACTACCAGGTCAGTTATTTATTTCTTATTTTCTTATATTTAGTTTTTTCTTTTTTTTATTATATATTTCTAAGATCCGGTGCCAGCACTTGAATACGCTCAAACATTACAGCGACGAGCAGAAAAAGTATCTGATCTTGAAGTTGAAAATCAAAAACTACGAGAAACATTAGGTAGACAATGAACACAATAAACTTATTTTTCAAACTATTGTAATCAATTTCATATATATATATAGACGAGTATAATCACGAATTTGCTGATGTGAAAAATCAAGGTAAGAAAAAAAAAAAACTTTTTTTTCTTCTTTTTGTTTTATTTCTTGACAAGATTTTTAAATAAATTTCATAATAGAAGTAACAATCAAGCAATTGCGTGAGAAAATTAAAGATTTAGAAGATAAAACAGAATCAACAATTCAGGTAAATTATTGATAATGAACTTTAAAAAAAGAAATTTCTCAATTTTCTTTTGTTTTCAGCAACGTATTAAAGAAAAAGAAAAAGAGTTTCAACGTATATTCGGTATGCATATGGTTTTTCTTTTTTTTGTTGTTGTTATTCGAAACTGATAAGAGAATCATCTAAATAAATATATTCATTTATTTTTGTCCAGCTGAAAAAGAACGTCAGTTGCAAAATCAACAATTTGATCTTGTTACTAAATATGCCGAAATGGAAATGCGTCAAACACAATTACAATCAACATTAGATCATGCACATCAAGAAATGTTTGAATATAAATCAAAACAAGAAGATGCAACAAGTGCACGTTCATCTGAAATTGATATACTTAATCAAGATTTAGAACGAGCTAATGAAGTAAAACAAAACCAAAAATTGAAACATAAAAATTTATTAATAATTTTCTTTTTGTTTTAATTTATTAGCGAGCATCGAATGCTGAACGTATAGTTGATAAATTACGTGAACAACTTGATCAAACACAAAAATTCATGACATCCGTATCAACAAATAATAACACTGATGAAATAATTTCACAAGAAGAAAATGAAAGAAAATTACGTGAAAAACTTGAATTTGAATTAGCATCTAAAGAACGTGAAATATCAGCACTTGTTATTGATACACAAAAATTACAATCAACTTTAATTAAAGTTAAAGAAACATCTGTTTCACAGGTAGACAAAATAAAATGTCGAACGGAAGAATTTTTCAAAAAAAAAAAATTTTTTTTTCTTTTCTAATATTCAGATATCTGATCTTGAAAATGTTTTAAATGCAAAAGAAAAAATCATTGCACAACTTGAAAGTAAATTACATAGTCAAGCTGATTATGATGAAATAAAACGTGAATTAACGTGAGTCAGATATTTTATGACAGAAAAATAAACATTAAAAACACAATCATGTATTTTATTTTATTTTGCTTTTGTTTTTTTTTTTGAATATTTATAGTATTCTAAAATCAATTGAATTTCCTTCATCAAATAATTCAAATAATGATCAAACAAGTAATGTGCCAAAGAAATCATTAGAAATACTTTTATTAGAGAAAAATCGAGCATTACAAAGTGAACAAACACAAATCAAAGTGGCACATGCTGATCTTGAAAGTAGGTTTTAAGAATTCAATCATAATGCAAATATTATGACTGAATTTTTTTTTCTTATTCTTATCATCCTATCTGATACTTGAAAAAAAGGGGGAATAAGAGAATGATTTTGCCGTTGTATATAAAAATGTATATAAATGCATACTACATCAACTTTTTTTTTTATCATAATATTTATCTAGGTAATACTAATCATCATTCATATCGTCACTATTCTTCTCCATGTTCACATCAAACAAATACTCTTTCTCTTCTTTCTTCTCCTTCATCACCTATTCCAATTTCTTTAAAGTCATCCTCTCAGTCTACAAATTGTAATACTACTGAGGAAATGACTCATTCTTTAAATAATTCTCCATCAAAAATCATATCACTATTACCATCAAACGATAATCTTCAATCAATACGTAATTCTCTCTCTGCTCCTGTTGATACAAAATATTCATCATGTCCAACAATGATTACTCCAACTGCTCCACTTACTTCATCTTCTACAACATCAACATCATCCGATCACTGTTCCGGTAAAAGAAAAGAAAAACTTAATTTGAAAAAAAAAAATTTTCCATAAAAAAAAATACGTATCACAGGTCAACAACTCAATTCTGTTCAATGGACAAAACTTCCTTGTCCGCCACAAACATCCTCATCATCAAGTCCATCACCTTCAAGTATAGCAACAACATCAACAGATATAAAACCATCGATATCTATACCAACAATTAATAATTCATTAGAACCTCTTGAAACAACATATGTAGCTAATATTGTACGAAAAATTCTTGCACAACATAACATAGGTCAACGTGTATTTGCACGTTATATATTAAGTTTATCTCAAGGTACAGTTAGTGAATTATTATCAAAGCCAAAAGCTTGGTCAAAATTAACTGAAAAAGGCAAAGAAAGCTATCGAAAAATGTGGTCATGGGCTAATTCCGAAGAAAGTATATTAGCTTTAAAAAGTCTTAGTCCACGTAAAGGTATGACAAACAAAAAATTAAGAAAAACAAAAAAATGAATTTATTATTTCTTCTAATCAATAGGTTCAAAAGATAATACATATCCATTAACACAACAAAAAGTTCTACAAGTTTTATCTGATGAACCAAAACGATCTCGTACACCATCAACATCATCAACATCATCTCGTGAACATTCTCCTAATGAACAACAATCACTTATATCTCCTTCAATGTTTTCAACATTTGTTCCATCATTATTAATGCAAACAACAAATAGACTTAAAAATGATATTTATTCACCATATAATATACTTTGTCCTCAACCAGAAAATTATCGTAATTGGTTAATGTTACAAGAAATTGTTCGAACAAATGCTATGATTAAACAATTAAAACCAACAGATATTGATGAAAATGAACAAGAAAATGAAGATGATACAGATGAAAATCCACTTGATTTAAGTATGAAAATTGATACAGATCAAACATTAATTAATAAACAATCAACAATAAAACATAATAAAACAATTTTAATGCCATTAACTGAACAAGATATAACAAAATATCGTCATATTAATACAATTGAATTAGTTCAAACAGTAAAAGATATATTAAGTCGTTATAGTATATCACAAAGACATTTTGGTGAAAAAATTCTTGGTTTATCTCAAGGAAGTGTTAGGTAAGTAACAAAAAAAAAAAACACAAATATTCTTTCCTTTATGAAGTAAAAAAAAAAGCTAATAAAATTTCTCTTGTGTTTTTTTCTTTTCAAGCGATATTCTTGCTCGACCAAAACAATGGGAATTATTAACACAAAAAGGTCGTGAACCATTTATACGTATGCGTTTATTTTTGGATGATGCAAATGCAATAAAACAACTTATACAAACTGTTTCATTAACATTATCACCATCAACATTTAATGATTTACATTCAAAAAATATGATTTCAAATGAAAATTCAATTGATTCTCAATCAAATGATTGTTCACAATTAATATCAAATGAAAATTTATCATCATCATCATTATTAAATGAAACAATAACAACAATAAATACTACAACTAATAATAATAAATCAAAATCTCGTTCAAAAACTAATAATAATAATAATCAATGTCGACAACAATCAATTACAAAATCACAAAAACCACCTTATGATTTACCAATCATACCTTTACCAAGTAAATTATTATATTTTTACATTCTTCTTTTTATTATTATTTATTTAGCTGTGATTGATACCGAACAATTAAGTTCACAAGTTCGTGAACTACTTTCTTCATATAGTATTGGTCAGCGTGTATTCGGTAAATATTAAACAATAAAGATAACAAAAAAGAAAATATTCATTGAGTTTTTTTATTCATGTAGGTGAAGCTGTCTTGAATCTTTCTCAAGGCACAGTTAGTGAAATACTATCAAAACCTCGACCTTGGCATGCATTAAGTGTTAAAGGTCGTGAACCATATATACGTATGTATAGTTGGTTTCATGATACAGGCAATGCACAAAAATTACTTGCTTGGAAACAAGAACGAGATGGTAAAAAAAATAAAATAAAATAAAATTTTTTTTTGTCTATTAATCAATTTAATTCTGTTTGTTTTTTTTCAAGCTTTACGACGTACAACACGTACTCAAACAACAAGAGATAATATTGATATTGAAAGTAATAATAATTCTTCAAAACGACATTATTTATTTACTGATGATCAATGTCGTGTATTACAACAGATATTTGAAAATGAACCATATCCAAATCAATCAAGATTAGAACAACTTGTTGATGAATTATCATTACCAATGACTAAAATATCGAATTGGTTTCATGATGCAAGAATGAAAACTAAAACAAATATAAATTCTTTAGATATAGATAAACTTTCAACATCACCTTTAAATGATGATGATGATGATGATAATAATAATAATAATAATAATTTATCAACAATTGAACCATTAAATAGTTCATGGTTTAATGATTCTGATAGTACAAATAGTCCAATGAGTTTATCAACAAATATTGTTTCTTTAATTGATAATAAAAAACCTACAGGATCTGTATCAACATCAATATCAAGTAGTAAAAAACGAAAATCAATTCCACAAAAAATAATAACTACAAAAAAATCAACATCAATTGAGAATGATCATTATGATGAAACACTTGTGTCAAATCAAACAACGAATGATTCAATAAATTTTGTTGATATTAATACTTGAAAATGTTGTTGTTGTTGTTGTTTTTTGTTCATTTTCATATAACCAAGGTGATATTAACAGAGAAAAGAAAACAAAACAAATTGGTGATTTTGTAATTTTCTTTTTTGGTTCTTTTTATGTTTTATTCTTTTTCTTTTTTTTTGCTTAATTTTTTCGCTCAAAATTTTTATTGTTTGTTTTGTTGTATTATGTATTTTGTGAGTATTGCTCAAGTATTGAAACTAGTCGTGAACAAAACTCAGTTGTTCCAATAAGTGCATATAAAACAAAAGAAACAACATAGAAAATGAATGGCGTGATATAAATTCTATTTGAATAGTTGTTTCATTCTTCGTTTTTTTGTTTTTTTGCTTTTTCAAATTTCAGCAAACAATAATTTTTATTTCTATTTCAATGTTGTGTACGTGTGCAATAAATGACAGTGTATAATACATCTAACAAAAAAGAAAACATATTAATCGTTAGATGATTAATTAGTATTCCGGGTTTTGTTTGTTTGTTTTTTTCTTAATTAACAAAGAAAATTCTGAAACAAAAAAAAAAAAGAAACATATGTGAAATAATCAAATGTATATGTGATGTTTTTCTTTTCGTTTTCATTTGAATATTAATAAAAATTTTCTATTTCTTTTATTATTATATTGAATATGTTTTGAATTTATTTATTTTGCAGGTTTATAGGGCAGAGAGAGAATGCAAGAAGAAAATCGTATATGATGACATATCCTCTTGTTTCTTTTTTTTCTTTATTTTAATTTTTTAAAATTTATATGAATTAAATAAATAAATAAATAAATTAAATAATTTATTTAGAACGTTTCCATGATCTTGACAAACGTTATCGAGATATTGAATATACTAATAATGAATTAAAACAATTGAATACTCAACTTGAAAAAGATTTATTGAGTGTTGGTGGTGTTACTGAATTATTTCGACGAGGACCAGAGGTAGTTTATTTTTATTTTTATTTTCTCTCTGTTTGAAATTTATTTTATGTATTTTTTGCTCTTATTTAGGGACAAACAAGTGATAGTAGTATAAATGAAACTGGAATAATTAAAGATGTATTGAATCAATCATCTGTATCTTCAACATCATTCAAAGATTCATTAACACCAATTCCACAAAGAGATTCATCATCAGATGAAGCATTAACAGCAATTGTTATTAGTCAACGTGAACGATTTCGTATTCGAAATATTGAATTAGAAAATGTAATTTGAATATAAATAAGTTAAATATCTATTTATTTTTATGAATCATTTTTTAGGAAAATGTTTCATTAAAACAACAAATTGGTATATTTCAAAATGAAATGGATAAACTTCGATCAGATAATATTAAATTATACGAAAAAATTAAATTTGTTCAAGCATATCCTGTATGTTTTTTTGTTTTATCATATGTTTCTTAATCTTTTAAAATATTATTTATATACTTAATAGACAACACGTGGAACGGATGATTCCATTGATCGTTATTCACGTAGTTATGATGCATCATTAGATCCATTTACTAATTTTACTAAACAAGTATTGAATAATTTCATATTGAAAAAAAACATATATTTTATTTTAAATTTTATTTAAAAGGAAAAACAAAAAAAATATGAATCTCTTAAATTACATGAAAAATTTGCTTTAAATTTTGGTCGTTTTATTTTATCATCACATCAAAGTCGAACATTTTTTGTCATTTATTTTATTCTCGTACATATTCTTATCTTTCTTGTAAGTTATATTTATGTTAAAAAATTTTAATTATTTAACAAATATATTTTAGTCTCTCTATAAAATGGTTCATACTGGTGCAGCAGTACGTGACATGTCACAAATTTGTTTTGACAAGTATATCATATACTTTATTTTGATTTGATATCAAATATTTATTTTTTGATTTTATTTAGATTTCGAGAGCACATGGCAGGTGTACATGGTGAAAAAGACTTCCATTTGGATCATGTTCATGGTGGGGGAGGCGTAGGATTAACACCGCCGCCTCATAGATAAACTTTTGTTTTATGTTTTGCATAGAAATACATAATATATATTCATAAGTTTTCTTTTAATTAAATATCAATTAAAGATATAATCACATTCTACTAATTAATAAACATCCTTTACACTAACTCATACATTTTTTCATTCATCAATTATTATATATGATTTTTGTTCTCATAAATAGAAATCAAGAAATCTTTTTTTGTGAACATTCTTAAAATGAATTTTAATAGAAGCTAATACAACTCTATGTATATCAATAGAATACAATATGACTAATGCCATTGATAGTCATTCTATGAATTAAGGTTAGTTCGACATTCGTAAAGAAGAACCTACTTGCATCTTTTAATGACTATTTCATTTAATAAGATATGCTGACTATTCATTATGATTCGCATGTTTTACGTTCGCGAAAAATCTAAATATATTCTACACTCAATAACAAAGTATCCTAGTACTTTAATTCATTTTCGTGTGAGCCAATGGTAAAGCATTGGAAAACGACTCATTTTAATCCATATCAAACAGTGTCTGACATCCATATGGTCAGTTTGACAATGCTAAATCTATTCTAGAGATGAAATCGAGGAAAACTTCAAGGGAAAAAAAAACTCAATTTATTGTTCAATTAGCAAGTGTTAATATGATCATCGCACAAGGCTAATTATTAAAAACTGGGATAACAGCATTGGGTTATTATCATTTGATTACCTTTGTTCTACTTGGTTTTGTTACTCGATCGAGAAAATACGGATCTTGAACAATTGTGAATCATGCAAATCAGAGCTTCGTGTGTGATGGGATAGGACGAAAAAATCGTCCCATAGGATGAGCTATCGCGAACTGCATCATGTAAGATAGGACTATCTTCGAAAAGTTTGACTCATGTAAGATAAAATTATTCTAAAATATTTCGTCCCATTCCATGGAACTTCACGCTTGTCAAATGTCAAGAAAAAATTTTGAACACATCTATTGTTGCCATTAATACTAACTAATTTTACATTATTGCATTTTGTATTTCATAACTTTATCATAACCCAAGTTCACATTTCGGAGAGAGAGAGAGAGATTTATTTCGAAACAATTAGGTCGCTCTTAATGGAAAAAAAATTATTGTGAAAGACATTTTTTCTATGGGATAATTGCTGCATCCCATTGGATGGGATTGTCCTACGTCACGCGGAGCTCTGATGTAAAGTCATAATGAAAAAAAAAAACATGAGAACATTTGGTCTTGTCAGATAAATAGATTTCTATCGCTTGTGTTCATACAGCATTTTTTTTCCAATTCGTTTAAGCAATCAAAACTTCAAATGAATAATTTTTACGACTACGAATTTCTTTCTTCATATTTATGACGACTAAATCCTCAGTGTGTGTTTTGAAATATTAACCTATTCGATCAAGTGTATTTTCATCACTTCAGTCTTTTTATCTAAGCGTCTATCGCTGAAAAATTTCTTTTTGATTTTGTCCTCCCAATTCTCTCACGGGCACACTTGTGAGAGAAAGAACAACAGTAAGAAAAACGAAACTTTGCTTTGTTTTTTACATCACATTTTCTTTTTCTGACATTCGAAAAATAAAAAGCAGTGTGTAAGGAGACTCTTTGATAAAACTACAACGAGTTACTCGCAACAATCGAACAAAAATGACGAATGATTCATATTGCAATTACAGCAGGTAGTTTTGAATAAGAAAAATATTCATTTCATCGATCTAGGCGATTTTCAACAGCACAATGAAATAAAGAATCTATTACTCGGATTAAATCCAGCAGCGCAAGTCTATATGAATTCACAACGATGCAGAGATACAATTCAAACGTTAACTGATAAACAATTTCTCATAATTCTTTCAAGTTCATTCGCTACACCGTATTCGCCATTAACCCAATGTCTACACTAGTTGTAGTTGCTATTTTAATCTTTGCTGATCAAAGTCAGTCGATTAAGCTGAATTAACAATACTCGAAAATCATCGATACTATCTTTGACAGACAAGTTATTTTACAAAAATGAAGTGAGAAAATGAGAGTGTGAAGATTATCTTCATCACTAGCTAAACACTATCTTCTCATGCATTTATCTTAATTTTGATTTATATGCGGAATACGGATTTCTTTTTAGGGAAGGACGACTTCAGCTTACCACTCAGTGTCGTCTTTTTTTGTGAAAACCAACGATTTTGGTCAGTTACTCTCAATAACTATAATTTATTAAAACAATTACTGGTAAAGATATCCATAATAGAAAGTTAATCAGTTACCATGAAAAAAAATTTACTAAACTTCTTTTGATATCCGCATAGCTTTTGTAGTTAATATATGTTGATATTGAGTACGTAAAGTGTAGGTTCAAACTATTTTTTCATTGTTTGACTAGGCTATTGATGTGCCCATTTATCCTATATTCATTGTTCGCTTACCGATATATGTTGTAGGATGCATCATGCCATTTTCATTAGGTAGTCTACATGTTATTGAGTCTTTTTTATTGCATTTATATTCAGCTCGACCAAAGTTGGAGAAATATTCTTTGAGCTTTTGTGAAAATTTCTCATCGTTTTAGCTTTTCTCGATTTTGTATAAGCCATTAATATACAGTTGTCGCTTGATTTTTCAATACATTTTCTCTGCATATGCACTCAAAAAATATGTATTCACGTCTTGTGATTAATCATCATAACTGGTATTCGAATGATTCAATTAAATTATATTTTTTTATTTGAATTTTGTCTACCAAGTAATCCCAATGTAGAGATGAATTCATGATATAAAATTGTGTATTCTTTTATAAAATAAATAGCTGTGTTTGTATTTATGAAGTGAGAGTAAATGAGGTGATAGTGATAAAGAACGATCGGTTGACAATGTTCAACTGGTGACTTTTTACCTATCCGAGCGACATGGGCAGATGTAGTTTTAAAAGAAAAGGCAGAAGAATGAGTAATAAGGAATATTTGTTCACTTTTTCAGATATATTTATTTGTCGAGCAATTATTGAAATTATTTTACATTCAATATGGCCATAAGTGGAGCAGAAGAACAATTTGATTATCGCATTTTACGATTGACTGATATGACTGAAGAGCCAATGAAATTCTTAGCGCCTATAGGTGGATATCAAGATATGCCGCTTGTTTCTCTAGAGCAGGCTGTCGAGCCACTCACATCTCTTCTACCAGCTGTCCAAAACTATGCTTATTTAGTCAAACAGAGATGTGACAAACCAGCTGATGGTTTAACACCAGATGAATCAGCTGCTATCATGCTTTATTCAATGGGATGGAAACCACTTGATCAATGTCTGTTTGTCGCCTTGAATGCAGCTCTACGATCAGCAGATAGAAGAAATCTCAAACCATGGTTTCTCTTTCTCAAACTGTTCCTCACTGCACTCTATCGTCTTCCATCCATTTCACGTTATACTGTTTATCGAGGGGTCAAGTTGAATTTGAACGAACGTTACAAGAAAGAAAAAACAGTGATGTGGTGGGGCTTCTCGTCATGTACTACCTCAATCGAGCTTTTACAAAGTGAACATATTGTGGGCAAAACGGGTCCAAGAACTATATTCTGCATCGAGTGCAATTCAGGAAAAGACATTCGAAAACATTCTTATGATCCATCAGAGAATGAAATACTTCTTTTGCCTGGAACTCAATTCAAAGTTGTCGGATGTCTTAATCCTGATTCTAATCTTCATACGATCCAACTCCAAGAAATTCAGCCGCCAGTAACAATTTTGCAGCATCCGTTTCGGCTTGATCATTTGCAGACGAAACCAGTTGCTGGTAAGCGATTGATTATTACAAGTTTTTGGTACTATAAAAAGTTTATCAAATTCTTTTGATAACGTTATGAGAAAATGTTGCAAACACGTGGATGCCTCGATTTTTCTTATACGGGTTTTTGCTTTAGTCCAGGATCATTTCTTCATCCTACGGAATTTATAGCATTTTTGAATCAGAAATATGTCAACAAAATTTTTCAAAAATTCCTTGAGAAAAATTTAAAATACTTTCTAGTTATTGTATTTCATTTACGGATAGGTTCTATACAAATAAATTATTTTTTTTAAAGAAAACGTCTATCATTAGCTTTTAAGTTACATTCAAATCCTTTTTTTCATTCAACAAAGATAAGTTCCAAATATCAATTTTGATCAGTTTTGTTTGGTACTCCTCTTAAATGATCATGAGTAGGCAACTTAGTTTCAAATAAATTCTTTAGGAAACTAATTAATTATAGTTACATTTTTCTCTATATATAACATGTGCCCTCATCTTCGTGCTTCATAAGTACTTATACTTGAAGATCTTACTCATAGTATTACTATATTCAATAGCTTGTTCAAAATCAATACCAACCAAAAACGCACCCATCTCTCGAGCGCGTGGTTTTGAAATTATTGAAATGGATGCAACTTTTCCCGAAGATGGGTCGGATACAAAGGCAACCAAGTAGCGCTCAAGAGATGAAAGATTAGTATATACTTTCCTGTATTGACATGACTCTTACAAATGTATTTTAGTGACTAACTTTTTGAGATCCGTGATTGTGTGTTTATTTGAATAAAACTTTGATAATTTCTCGAAAATGGTACTGATACCGTATGTTAAGTGATTTCACAACAATGATAAGAGTTGAATGATAGGTCAAGTGAATTGCTGAGTAAGAGTGAAAAAAAAGTGTTCCCACCGGTCCAACCATCCACTTATACCAACATCAACACTCATACCCTCAAGACGGTTAGTTGTTTGGAATCAAAATCCAAGGTGCAGTTCAATACAAATACAAAGCAGCTTTCATACCAGCGACAACTTAGGTTGACACGTCACAAATCGACTTTGTCGCCTGACTGTTCACTATGTGAATGTGGATGTGGATGTAGGTCTTCTCCCGCACTCATACTTACATCCTAGAGATGTGCATGATAAGCTTCTTTCGTACTATAAGTTCTGACTGAGAAAAAATGTCTTAGGGTGTGGGTGGGGTGTGGGTGTGGGTGTGGGTGTGGGTGTGGGTGTGGGTGTG